GAACAGGGTTCAATAAAAAAGGAAGGAAATTCTGGTACATATTACACCATAGAGACAGCTTCAAGATATTATGCTAAATGAAATGAACCAGTCACCAGAGGCCAACATGGTTATAACCCCACATACATGTGGTTGAGAGACAGAAACAGTAGGAGGGGTTCTGGGCTGGTGAGATAGCTCAAGGGCCAGCGAGATAGCTCAGAGGTCTAAAGCGCCCGCTTAGGCAAGCCTAGGCAAGTGTAAGGGACTGAGATTTATTTGATCCCCGGCACCACATGCCATGCCCACCATGCCCTCAGGGTGGGCTGAGTCGGCCAAAAAAAAAAAAAAAAAGAAGGGTGGGTCATGGGAGTGGAAGAGGCATAGATGGGGAATTGCATGATGGGGACTGAGTTTCCAATTTTGCAAGATAAAGTAAGAAAGTTTTAAAAAAGATGGAGGGGCTGGTGAGATGGCTCAGTGGTCTAAAGCACCTACTTAGAACAAGCTTAGCAAAGCACTGGGACCGCGGTTCAATCCCCCAGCACCACATGCCAGCCAGCCCTGCCCCCTGGTGGGCTGAGCTGGCCACACACACACACACACACACACACACACACAAATAAATAAAAATTAAAAAAATAAATAAATAAATAAAATAAAAATAAAAAGATGGAAACCTGCAGCATGTCAGACCTACTGAGGATTTTATTAAACTCAATGAAGAAATCCCCAGGAGAATAAATACTCGTTTTTAAGGTTTTTAGAATGCTGGCAATTTTTAAAAACTAACAATAAATGTCTTTATTCAGGGAAAAAGAGTATTTAGAAAATGTCATTTCATTTACAGGTGTGATTTTTTATTTTCTACAATGGTTCCTTGTATAAAAGAAAATAAAGAAACAGAGAAAGAAAAAAATAAAAAATAAAGAGTGCTATAATGGATGGTAGTGTTGGTGACACAGTAACATGAATGTATTTAATATCATGGAACTGGAAACTTAACAATGGCTAAGAGAGTAAGGTATGTTATGCATATTTACCACCATTTCAAAAGCAATTTCTTTCCAAATGAAGAAAATGTCAGGAAAACGCCTTATCTGCAGTTAAACCATGGATATTTTTGAGCAAATCTTTTGAATAAAGATTGTTCTGTTCTGTTGTTCACCAAACTTCTTGAAAAGGAAAATAAAAATACCTCAACACTTCAGATGGTTCTCCTGGGAAAAGAGCTCAGAAGTATATGAGACCAATGTCCCAAGACAAAAGGTGGAGTGGTTAGCACAGGAGAAGTAGATTATATCTGTCCTTCTTAATAAAAAATGTCTTCTCTTCCCAGGATGCACTTGGCCAAACATCCCATGAAGACTCAAAAGGAAATCTTGTCTCCTGCCCCCACCTGACATTTATGGAGCTTTTGCAAAAATAAGAACAATGGAGACCATTCTTCTTTCTCCCATGCCAGTGAGGCTGTCCCAAAAGTCCCCTTCAAGGACCACCAGGTTATCCTGAGCCCCAGGATAGACACCACCAGATAAAGAAAAGCACTGGAAGAGACTTCAGCCTATGACAAACACAGTTCAGCTACTACTTATCTCTGAACCATGACTACAAATTGGTTTGTACCTTTTCTTTTTATTTGCTATATAGAGGTTCACAGATAAATCTGTGCAGGCCACAGTAAGGATTATGTCTCATTCTTCTGTTTTGTTAGGCTGTACTTGGTTACTTTTTTCCAAAGGAGAACTTTGGATTTTCACACTAAAAATTAGTAAACTCTGCTCCTGTGCCACATGTTTCAGACAGGGGAAGGCGCTGCCGGAGACCTGGTGGCTCAAATGCAGCGGCAAATCCTGCCATGCTATGCACCAGCCTGGCTCTTGGAGAGACCAAAGAATCCACAAACGCACGCTGAAAAGACAACTAAAATTAATAACTAGTCTTTGTTTCTACAGAGATCAAGGCAGGCGGTAGTTTGTTGGGGGTAGGAGGAGACACCTTCAGGTTGTGGGCTGTCTTGGGAGACTGAAGAGGAAAGTTCCCTGTGGGACTTTAGCCACAATGTGGTAAAAGCAACATGCCACCCTTCTGGCCACCGCACACCAGCCGAGACCTGGTCACACAGTGAGAAGCCAAGTCGTGCAGGCGGGAAGCCTCAGGTGTGATGGTGATGTTGTTGTCTCTTACTGACCCCATATTCTGGCTGGCCATTCGAGATGTTAATGACACATCTGTGATTTAAAAAAAAAATGTTCCCTTCCCATTGTCATATATCTTTGATTAATAAAAAGAATTACTGCCTCATAACTACTTAGCCATAGCAGTTTGGAAGGCACTATCTGACCATTCAGGTCAGACTTCGCCAGGCCAAATTGAAAGGGGCCCCTGGAGGAGAAAAGTTAGAGAACCACCCTGGAGCTTCCCCTTCCCCTCCACGAATGTGCGCAATTCCAGAGAATAGACAGGCCTTCTTCGAACCTGAGGAAACCGTAACTCTGCGTGAGGAGACCCAGCAAGAGACAGAATAAATGAGCTGCATCTGGCGAGGTGGGGGGAGGGCGGGGGGGATAATTAGCTGGCACTACAGGAACAAGGGCAAAGAAGAGCGAGCTGGACATACCCTGAGGAAATCTGGACTTTGTACCCACTTAGTGCCCTGGGAGGGACGCAACACTTCCAGGCCAGCAGGTGAGGGACCGCAACCGAACCAGACCCCTGGGCGGCACACGGCAGCCTCCCACCTCCAACAACCAGAAGTCGTACTTTCCACACTATTGCTTTTAAAAATGAAGGCAAGAAGGCTCAGGTAGCCCAAAGGATATTCAGGGACAATACGGCAAGGTTTCGGTGGAGGAATAGTACCTTTAAACATAAGCCCCACTATATGTAAAATGAGCATAATAAAACAGTTTCTCTTAAAAACGGACAACAGCCAATTCATGGTCCCTCTTGGCATGTATGTTTCCACAGGTAGATGTGTGACATCTCAGAGGTAACATGTATGACACCACTGGGCTGTTTTGTTTTGTTCTTGGTGGAACTGAGGATTGAACTCAGGCCCTTGCGCTTGCCAGGGAAGCACTTATTCTACCAAGCCATCTCTCCGGCCCACACTGAGCTGATTTCATGCAATAAGACAGTAAAAATAAATGCTACAGTTACATACGACCTCATTATAAACAGCTAAGATACAATGTCTACCTTCTCAGAAGAATTCCAGGCATTGTAGCACCGAAGGCACTGAATATAAAAATCTTTTCACTCCATAAATACAAAAGGGCTACTTTTATTGGTGCCTGTAACACGTGTAATCTCAAGAAGAGAGAATAAACATGTTTGGCTTTAGCAGAGGATATAAGATACATGTAGTTCTTTAAAGTACAAACTGCTACAAGCAATCGTTAGGACATTTGCTTGTAATATGTAAAGTATAGCCTAGAGCTTACAGGTTTACAAACACTTCTAAAGCTGTTTTATGGGGTGTTTATTACATGCAAAGATGGAACAACCGTGAGGTTAGGGCACCTTCCTGGAAGACGAGCAAAACTGAATGGCAAAGACCAGATGGACATCAGTGAGCTCAGCCTGTGCCTTGGAAAGGATGGGCCCAGCATCTGTGCTGCTTTCAGGCTCCCTGGTGCATCCCTTGGACATTGCCACACGTAGGGAGGTGACGCCCTACCGCATCAGCACACCCAGCTCACCAGTCAGGACAGAGAGCGCGCAGGGAGGGGGAGCCGAGGCCAAGGGAAGAGCACGTGCCTAGCAGTAAGGACACCTGTGTTCCACTGCCAGGTCCACCTTACCAGCTCGCAAGCCATGTCACCACTCTGCATTCAGCATTGTCATCTATAAAATGAGGAAGATGAATGACCCCACAGAGTCCTGACAACTCTGTGCTTGTCTGCACTTTCAGAGAGTCCAGAGAAATCCCAAACAGCTCCATAAAATGGCAAAGACACCGTGCCCAGCTGCCAAACATCTTCCGCTTGCCTGGCTTCTTGTTCGGGCATCTCTGAGTACGTTTGGCCATGGCCACTTGTGTAGCCCCCTGCTTCCCTTCGCAGCAGGCGGCACCCTTCACCCATGGCTACAGCACTGGAGAATGGAGATGCTAAGCGCTTTGTCCAGTCAGAAGCTAGGACAGGATCAGAAATCCAGCCTCCTGGATTCCTCCAGCTATGCTATACTTTCCACAAGGAAACCAAGCTGGCTTTCTGGGAAGAATGCCAGAGGTTCCATTCTCCCAACTGAGAATTCACTGGAATATTGGAATAACAACTTTGGAGACTGTGGTCTCTCCAATCCATTTCAAGACCTGGCTAGAAACATAAAAACCCAAAGAAAGAAGCAATGGGGAGTTATTCCGTTTTTTAACAAAAGAGAAAAATTAGGGGTGGGAATATGGGGTTTCTTAAAAATTACATGATTGCTGGAAGTTAATTTGGTATTTCTTCGTTGGTTTGTAAGTTCTGTTTGCAATCACAAAAACAGACAGCTGAGGATGCCTAAATCACATTTCAGTGAATTAGCAGCTTGTCCCTAAGAATCTTTCCCACTCCGAACATATCACAGAACCCAGATTGTGATTCCGTGTGGTAGGCAAAAATCCCCCTCCATGCAAGAGAGATCCTGCGCTAAGCCTCTGTGCTGGGACCCAACTTGATAGGCTCCAAGGTCAACCGCAGTCACGAAGCGTGGTAGAAGGTTGCCACTGAACTTGGGTTGCACATGTCTGCCATTCAGGGAGACAAGCGAGCAGCCTTTACCCTGCTTTAGTGTACCAACTCCTCATAAGGATGCAAGTAGTGCACCTAGAAAAGAACCCTTCCTGCCCAGAGAGCCAGGTTCTGACCCCTTCCGAGTGTGGCCAACAGTGCAAGGCGCGTTTGCCGGGCTGCTTTAACCTTGAAGAAAGCACAAAAGCAACCTTCCCACATAGTACAAGGGGCCAGCATGCATCGGTGAGTTTCACAAAGGAAAGAAACCAAAACTAATCTAAAAACCACATCTTCCCCTACCTGTCAATGATGACAGGGTCCGAAGGTGTCTCATTGCGGTTTCCACAGCTTTTCTTTTCACAACATCGACTGCAGATTGGGAAAGAATCAAAAGAGTTAAACATGCAATTAGATAAAACAAACAATGAACATACTATATAAGAATGTTCACCAAGAAAAAAAAAATTAAGTTGAAGATTAGCCTCTCAGCTCGAAGCTGCATGAGGGCAAAATCTGTGACCATATTGCTTTTGGTCACAAAAAAGGAACCCGAAGCCAAAATATACTCATTCACATTTTCCTTCTATGACTTACAACCTGGCTAACCCTCTACAAGTCACAGTGTCCCAAGAGCCATGCTCATAACCAAAACATGGATGGTTGGCTTTTAAGATGTGTAAGATCACTTCCAGACTGGGGTTCAATGACTTTACGATGGTACGGTGTTTAAGATCTACAAGGTCACTTCCAGGCCCGGCTTCAACAATTTTATGACTGTATATTTTAGGTTTTTGCATCCTAATAAATATTTGAAGAGCCAAGTGGAAGGAAGGTGTATAAAACAGACCACAAGTAGCTGTCTGGATCATTATAAAACCTTATTTACATAACATCTTTCTCCGGAGAACTAGGTATACTTTATAAACATTTATTCATTCACTCATTTCCATCTTGTCCCAAAGATGAAGGAAGGAAACCAGAACTTTAGAATGGGAAGAAAATGAGGCAGGGAGCTGGAGAGTGATACCTCAGATGGCTTTCACCACAGTTGGAACAGAAATGAGACTCGGCTACCCCAAAGTGTCAATCCTAAAAATTTTGCTTCGTCAACCTCCCCAGCCTCAAAGCGCTATCTACCTAACAGACAGTTGGGTACCAGTGCAGCAGGGGTTGGTAGAGGGTAGGTGGTGAGAGGAGCCTCCGGCCAAAATGCAACAGAAAGAAGTCTACAAAAGGCCCTAGAGAAAGCAAAGCACCCCAGTACAAAGGTGTCTGTTAAAATACAAAGACAGGGCTGGGGAGATAGCTCAGTGGCATAAGCGCCTGCCTGGAAAGCATAAGGTTCTGAGTTCAATCCCTGGCACCAAAAAAATAAATAAATAAGTAAATAAAAAACAAGGACAGTTGTGAGGAAAGCAACAGGAGCTTGGAGATCGCATCCCCACACAAAGAGCATCAGGTCGCCCACACGCTGCTCATCAGGCCACGGGCTTCAGGAATCCCTCTGTCTGCCATCAGCTGCATTTCCTTCAGGGTGTAGCCTTGGTGCGGCTTATGAGAACGTCCTGGTCATCCTACCAAGTGGACAAGGTGCCCACTAGGTATTCAGGAGAACCGAGCTGCACTGGCCTACTCTTTCCCATGATGCCTTTGTGCAGCTCAGAACTGGTGCGGTGCTGTAGGGAAACAATGCTGAGCTGGGAATCAGGGCTTTGGCTTCTAACTCATCACTAACTAGCTGCATGAATTCAGTCAAATCTCCTTAACTGATCTGAGCTTTGCCTCCCTGACACGTAAAATAAAAGTGCTGAGTTCAGCGTTCTCTAGAGTCCCCTCTCCGTTTAAGGTAAGAGGCTGTATGATTCCATAAGCACCTTGGAACATGATGGTAGCATATGGAAAAATGAGAAGCCACCGTGTAGCAGGCACCCAAAAGCTTTCCGTAGCCCAGCCACAGGTTTGCTTCGAGGCTCGCTGCAGTCTGTTCACCCTCTCTCATCACCATTGGAATTAAAAAATATACAAACATTAATATTGCAAAACCGCGTAAATCCCATACCTTTCATACAGGGATGTGCGGCGTGCTCAGTGAACAATTCCACCATCCTCAGGGAGTAAAAGAGAGGTGCCAAGACTTTTTCATCAGGTGGGCACCATGAGGTTTTATGAACTTTAATCAAAAGAGTAGAAAGTAAAAAAAAAAAAAAAAAAAAAAAATTCTCTGGACTTCCCTAAATACCAGAGTTTGCCGCTGAGACTTTCTGCAATAATGTTTGGCCTTTGAAATGATGTTAGGTCTTAACTTTTAAAATTTCAGCCTATCCCAAGATTAGCACCAGTAAAAACGCTGGCCAGCTGCACACCCGCCTCTCAGAGCCCCAGCCTCTCCCGACCCTACCCCCCCCATTCCCAGCTCCCGCTTCTATTTCTGTAGCACTGCTCTATGTCAATGCCATGCCTGAGGAGCACAGGCAAACCTCTTTTCTCAGCAACACAGTGTCCAAAGGCCCGCACACGCCAGTGACCTGCAGACCTTCAAGCTAGACTCTCGTTTGACATCGCCGACTTGTCGACCTAACCCCAAATACGTGTGCAGTGCTGCGCAGCATTGAAGTGGAGAAGCACACACTGTCAGGATGCACCAAGCTGTTGGGCTGGGGCAGCAAGGATTCTGGAGAGGCCGAGTAAGTTTGCAAAATTGCTCAGCTGAATCCAGCTGCTTTCCATGGGGATTTCCTCGGGAGGAAAAGACAAACACAAAAATGTCCGCTTGGTGCCAGTGGATTACAATGCGGAGAACCAGCTCAGGAAAAGAAACGATATGCAAAGGAAAGGGCAGAGAAACCTTAGGGCCCAAGCTTCTTTGCTCCAACAGTGACAAATTCAAATATAATCTCCAATGTTAATACCCATCAAAGAAAAGACAGAGAGACACTTCCTTGGCTATGAACTATACAAGCAACAGGGTGAAAATAATAGGACTTGGTTGTATTTATCCTCATTGAGCCTTTAAAATTTTTCAGACTCTCTAAGTTAGCCAAAGCAGATTCTTTTCCTTCTTTTCTTTTAATAAAAATTCTCATTAATATGTTTAGCTGTTCTTTATTTTGTATCTAAAGTGATGCTCAGTCCTGTGGCAGCATTATTAACACAAGCAAGGAAAATGGAGAGAACGCTAGACACTAACGGACCCACCGCTCACAGGTAATGTGGACAGGTGACCCAGAGGAGATGAGGCCCTGAATTACTCAGATGACAAATTCAATCTTAGAAACCCTGTATGACCAACCTCAGGTTCAGCTACTTTGTTTAAAAGACTCTTAGAGTTATTTTCCAATAGGCAAATCTCTAAGTCTAAAGTTGCAGCAAAGTATTTTTTTTCAATTGACAATAACTGCAAAGTAGGAAAAGGAAGAAAAGAAAGAAAGAAGATAGGAAAAGAAAGGAGGGAGGGAGGGAGG